TTTAAAATTTTTCACTATGATCCATTTTTTAACCTGTTAATTATTTTCATGTGTGTTTTTAAACATCAAATTTAGAGAATATTTTGATTTGTGGGGATATAAACTGATACAATCACTGTGAAAACAATCTGACAACTTCTTAGAAAGTTAAACATACAAGTACAGTAATCTCACTCATAGGTATTCATGAAAGGAAAATGAAAACTTAAAACCTATACATTAACATTTATAGTAGCTTTATACATACTTACCCAAAACAGGAAAGAACTCACATGATCTTCAACTGGAAAATGGATAAAGAAACTGTGGTATATCTATGTAATGGAATGCCACTCAGCAATAGAAAGGATTTAACTGCTGATACCACAACAACATGGATCGATCTTAAATGCATTGTATGCTAAGTAAAAGAAGCCAGACTCAGAAGGCTACATTCTGCATGTGTGATTTTATTTTGGAACAAGCCTGACTATAGGGGCAAAGAATAGAGAGTGGTTCCCCTGAGTGAGGGTAATCCAACAAGATAGGAGAAAATATTTTTAAATCACGTATCTGATAAAGAACTTATATCCATAACATATAAACAACCTCAAGGCTCAACCGTAAGAATGGAAACAATCCAGTTTTTAAAAAAGGGGACAAAAGACTTGAGCAAACACTTCACTGAAGAAGATATGGAGGCGGTAAATATGCACATGGAGATCGTCCAACATAATCAGTCATTAGAAAAATGTAAAATAAAGCCACAGTGAGATATCACAACATGTCTATTAAATGGCTTTAAAAAAAAACTGTCAATATCACATATTAAATCAAAGATGCAGTGGACAACACTAATGAATTCCACAGTCTCCACTAGGATGGTGAATTTGTCTATTTCTTTTCAGAGTTCCATCAATTTTTACTCTAGACCATGGTTTGAAGCCATAACATCATGTGACTACACCTCAGAATTACTACATACTTCTGGTGAGTTGACCCTTTCCCCTTCTAAAATAGCCTGTTTGTATTAGTCACCTATTGCTAAGTAAGGCTGCAGTCATACATGATAGCAGGAGACCTGCACTTGCTCTTAGAGCGCCCACCTGCAAGCAACACATTTCGTATTACATTAGTCAAAGAAAGCCACATGACCACGCCTAACTTAAAAATCTCCATGGATTACAACAATAAGGGTTCATTTTCCACTCATCCTTTTTGGATCCTTTGTAACACTAGCAATCCTTCATTCTGTGTCATCTTCAGGCAAGGATCCAGACAGAAAGTGTATCCTCATTTGGAACATGATCTTCCTCAGGCAGAGAGAAAGAACAATGGTTGTTAAAGTTCAGCTCAGGAGCGCACACGTAACTTCCATTCAGATTTCAGTGGCTGAGCACGAAGCCCGCCAGCTGGGAAGTACAGGCTGCTACAGGACAGGCAGCAAGTTACTGAGAACACTGACACAATTCACCACATTATTTCTGGCAATGCTTTCGCTTTAAAGTCTATTTCTCCAATGTTATTACAGCTAACAGACCCAGCAGGATCTCTTTTACCATTCTTTTACTTCATATTTTCTGTTTGTGTTTAAAACAGTGTGTGGTTTGATTTTTAAAAATCTGATGTTACAGTTTTTCTTTTAACTAGAAGGTTTTGGGTTTTTAAAAGTATATTTTATTGAGACTAATGATACATTTGAATTTATTTTTCCACTTTATTTTGTGCTCTGTATTTTTTTCTTGTTCTTATGTTCTTTTGTTTCTGCCTCTATTTCCTTCCTTTCTTTCCCTTCCATTCCTCTTTTTTTTTAATGTTATTTTTCTTCTTCATGTTTGGTCAATGATTATTCTTTCAATAGTAAGCCTCAAAATTTTAATATTCATATTTAATTTAAAATCTAATACCAATCAATATTTCATTGACAGTGCAAAGACATTAGATTGAACTAATGACTCCAATTCTTCACTCTCCCTGTATGCAAACTCTTTGCCATAGTCCTTCATAGCTCCCCCCTGCTATAACTCTGGACTCAGCTCTGTGACTTGCTTTGGCTAATGACACGTAAGAAGAGTCCTGGGAATGTGTTTGTGCATTTCCATTTGCTCTTCTGTGTCCTTGCCATTGCCATGAGAACTTGTCCACACTACCTGGCTGGCGAGTAAGAGACCTATGGAGCAGAGTCAAGGCCTGCGGCCAAGGCCATCGTAGATCAGCTGATCCTGGCTTTGTAAGCAAGCCCAGTCAACCTCAGCAGACACCAGGTATGTGAGCAATAAACAAATATAATTGTGCCCTTCTGAGGTCCTGTGGCTATTTGTTATGCAAGAGATAATTGATGCACACTTTACAATGCTTTAACTTCAATAATCCTCTTATACTTTACATACTATCATTCCATTATTTGGGTTTTACCTTTTATAATCCCACAAATTATAAATTGTTCTTATATTTTGCCCTTGATGTTTGTTTATATCTGTCCACATTTGCTATTTTATTTGCCCACCAATCCTTATTTTTCCTCTGATCTTCCTCTTGGAATCATTTCATTTCTTTCTGAAATATATCTTCTAGAAGATCCTTCAGTTAAACTTGGTTGGTAGTAACTCTTTAGTTTTGTTGATCCGAAAAGTACTGTTTTTTAATTCTTGAAACATTGTTTGCCAAGTACACAATTCTAGGTAGATGGTTATTGTCTCTCATCACATTAAGGCTATTATTTCATTAATGATATTATTTCACACAGTCATTGTTATCATTTCTCCCATTCTGGCTGTTGAGCAGTCACAAGTTGGTATCACTCTCATTTCATTGTAGAGATTATCTGTCTTTTTAAAAAGCATCTCTTGTGCTTTGGTGTTCTGTAGTTTCACCAGACTGGATCTAGGTTTTCTTTTTCCTTATCCTACTTGGGATTCATTGTGCCTCCTGAGGATTCTTATCTTTCATCAATTCCGGAAAATTCTCAGCCATCATTATTTGACAATTGCCTTGCTCATATTTACTTTATTATCTCCTTCTACCACACTTATAAACATATGATAAACTTCCTCACTCATATCCATATCCTTGTCTCTCTGGGATGCCTTTTGTGTTATTTTCTTCAAATTTATCTTTTAATTTACTAATTTCTCTCCGGTTATATCTAATTTGGTATTTAATCTTTCCAATGAGTTATACAGTTGAAATAAATCTGCCTCTGTTGCTTGTCTTCTCTACTTATTTCTTTGTGTTTTTAAATTGTGAGTTCATATTCATTTGGAAGCCAATCTGTGGGAATCCTTGAAACCTGTACTGACAGTGAGTTCTTCCAGTGAGGACTTGTGTTTGTTCCTGCCAAATATCATAGGTACTATCCACCCAAGCCCGTTTTGTATTGAAGTGTTCAGCTTGTGGGGTTTGGACTATGCAAACAGTGTGGTCAGAATTTGGCTATGCATCTGCTAAGGAAATGTTTTACCCTTCCAGTGAGACAAATTTCCTTGCTATCTGCCTCTGCAAGAATGTTTGTTTTTTCCCCTCCCACCTCTAGTTTATCCTTTCCCTGAAGATAAATTCCTTCTTGAGTCCCAACCTGATGTTCCAATTTGGTTCTCATCCTGCCTGTACCCAAGCAGATGTCCTTACAGCTGGTAGCTGCATCATTGTTTACCTACCTCAAGAGATGACTTTCTCTTCTTTTTAAAAGATTTTATTTATTTATTTATTTATTTATTCATTTATTCATTTATTTTAGAGACAGGGGAAGGGAAGGAGAAGGATAAGGAGAGAAACATTAATCAGATGCCTCTCGCACACTCCCCAACTGGGGACCGAACCCTCAACCTAGGCATCGACCCTGACCAGGAATTGATCCGTTTGAACTTCCACTGTGTGATATGATGCCCAATCAACAGAGCCACACCAGTCAGGGCCAGAGATGATTGTCGGTATAGCACACGTATCGATCCATTGGCACAAATGCAAATTGTACCTGTGCACAACTTCTGCATATCAACTTTGCCTGACCTCCTAGGCCTGTGTTTTTGTTTTCTTCGTGGCCTCAGATGATTTTTCTGACTTTCTCACAAATTTATCCATGCATTTAAAAGGGTATTTTCAATATTTCTCCTAGCAGTTTTATATAGTTCTTTGCTGTTATATTTGCAGATATGTAGTCTACAATATTGCTAGAAGTATAGTCCAAGTAAGAAAGTTATTAGGCTCATACAACAAAAACATGCAGGGTTAAACAGTTCAAACCTGGGACTGTAACATAATGTCACATGAGACCTAGGATCTCTCAAACTTTCTGCCTTGCCAGCCTTAGCATTTTCTTGTCATGTCATAAGCACTTGATGGTGACTGAACCTCTAACCTTCAGGTCTCCTTAGAGACAGGAAGAAAATAAAAGTGGCAAAGCACTTAAGGAGTATACTCAACTAGAAGTCCTAGTGGATTTGAAAAAAACAAAATGAAACAAAACAAAACTTCACTCAAGAACCTAAGCGTTAAGGGCCAGAGACTGGTCACATGACTAAGCCTAGTCCAGCTACCCAACTACTGGGCTAATGAGACTGAGATTACCATGAATAATCTGGACTAAGTGAGTCATTCCCTCCAGCTGGGGTGAAGGTCCACCTCCCCTGAGGTCAAAGGATCTCCTCAAGTACCTGAACAAAATGAGTTTTTTCCTAGGGGACCCAACACAACACCTACCACAAAGAGGGTGTCTGTCCTTTAACTGAACATTTACTAAGCATCTACCACGTGCCCAGGGTGCTCTGAAGGCAGAAACGGATTTGACAGTCTCTGCCAGGCCTGCTGAGTGAGGTAGGTCAAAGTTTATAAAGACAGTGGTCTCTAAACCCCTAAAGCTGATTGACCTACTCCAGGCTATACCGCGCAGGCGCTGGATACCTCGGGTTGCGGTGGTGGAGGGGTGCTCGCGGGACAAGACTCACGCATGCGCACAACGCTTTTTCTCTCTGACGCATCCTCGGAAGCACTGTCGGTTTCAGGGGGCGGCACCGCGAAGCGTTTCCGGGGGCGGGAGGTACTGGCTGAGGCGGTCGCGGAGGCGACAGCTTGAACGGGCCTGGTTCCGGCCGCGGAAAGTGTCCTGGGCCGGCTATGTGAGCGCCAGCCCTTGGCAGGTACGGCGGGGTCGAGAGGACGGGCAGCGAGGGGGCTGGGAGGGAAGCCGGAGAGATTTAAAGGTTTACCTGCAGGTCCCGGCGGGCGCGTCGCCGGCGCCGCCAGGCCTGTTCCGCCGACCCGGATGCTTAAACCGTGCGCGGGTGGCTAGAGTCCCGGTGCGCCGGGTCCTACTTCTGCGGTCTCCAGCCAGCCCAGCGCGCGTTCCGCGACACCAAGGCCCCTGAGGTAGCGTCTCGTCCAAGGTCACCCTGCGGCGGCGGATCTCGGCAGACCAGCGCGCTTAGAGATCCAGCCCCACTCTGTCCGCTGGCCTTTCGCGACCGCCAGGTGGGCGCGGCAAGGCAGCCTCGGGTTCGAGCCCAAGCCGGGAGAAAGGCTGCGCCGGCACCTCTCGCATACCTCCCTGTTTACCTCCGTGTTTCACTTCTGTTGCTGTCTCTGTCACCTGTTGTCACCTGCCCTTTTTGTCTCTGTCAACTTTGTATTTCTCTCTATTTTGTCTCTCTCGAGCCCCCCCTCTGAGTATTTGAATCTTTTCTTTATTTCTGTCTCAACCTTGCTTTTGGGTCTCTTGACCCTGTGTTTCCCTCTTAGTCCTTATTCTCATTCATAGCCTATCTGTTAGTCCAGCGCTTTGACCACCGGTGTTTCTCGGACTCGGCCAGTTGTGCCGCTCTCTCCTGTTGTTGCCTCTCCTAACTGGGTTTGTTTGGGCGGGGCGGGCAGGCCTGCCCAGACCTCTGAGCCACGGAAGGTGACTCATGACCCCTTGAAGCTTCCTGCGCTGGTGGCATTCTCAGTGACTAGACTGTAGTCTGCCCTCAACTCGGACAGGTGTCTGCCCCCGCCAAGTGTCAGGGTTCAGGAGTTCTTAGCCTGCAGACAGGAGCCAACTCAGAGCCCAAGTAACGTGAGGGATCCTTGCCTTTTCTTACCCAGGGCTTTTCGGGCCTGCACAGTCTCTACTTCCCTTTGCTCCATCCACTTACCCCAGGAGGGCCTCCAGGGCTCTCGACAGCTGCTTAACCAGGCCTGTCTGCAGTCTAAGGAAGGGTCAGTCTAAGACCCTCTGCCCTTGAGTTTCCAAGGACAGTGGCAGCGTTTCTGGGAGAGCTGTATGCTTAGTTCAGAGATTGTCAGTAGGTCCAGTTAAATGATGAGAAACCTGATAATTTGGGGTTCGCTCTCTGTTTTATGAAGTGGAAAAATAAGGCAGACACCAAAAGAACAAATATTGTAGGAGTCTACTTATATGAGATATCTAATAATAGGCAAATTCATGGAGAAGAAAAGTAGAATGTAGTTTACCAGGGATTGGGGGAGGAGGGAATGGAGGAGAGCTATCGTTTAATTGGATACAGAGTTTTAGTTTGGGATGATACATTCTGGAGATGGATGGTGGTGATGGTTGCACAACATGGTGAATGTATTAAATTCTGCAAACTGTGCACTTTAAAGTGGTTAAAATGGTCAGTTTTATATTAAGTATGTTTTATCTCTCTCTCTCTCCCCCCCCCCCCATTGGAGACACCTGGAACTAACCAGTCCTTTGAAAATGTGATTTTAGAAATTCATTCTCGCTTTTAGGAATAGTGTTCCTAAATTGATACCTGCTCTCTTCACAGCCAAGGGCTTCAGGAGTTAAAAGAATTCAGTTAGCATCTTCCTCAGGTTTCCTCCTTATCATAGCAGGTCCCTGCCCTGGCTCTCTTCCCTCCCTGCCCCTTCGATTCAATGCAGGAGTCTGCTGCATAAGTAGGAAATTTGAGGAAGATTTTGCTTTTCTCGTGAATAAAACTCATAGGGTTGGAAAAATGTTTCCTTTATTATAATAATGCAAAATTATGTATTATTTCTTATGTGTCTTCTGGTGGGGGAGGCCTTTATTTTTTGCTTTCTTATTTAAGCTAATAGTTTGCCTGTAGTTTATCAAACATTCTTCTTAAGATGTAGCAACTGAATTACTACCATGTTGAATCATTGATACCATCGACTATCTTATGTACCACCAAAGGAAGTGAAAACATGGCTAATTAAGCTATGACATATTCTTTCTTACCATTTAGGCTTTTAAAAATTCTTATTGGGAACATTTTTAGACTTAATTTAGGCATGTTAAGTGATACTCTAATGCATATATATAAAAAATAAGTAAAATATGGTTAAAGTGTTCATTACACATGTTAACATTCCTTCTCTTTTTGAATACTTTTCAGTTCAGAGCTGTGTCCATGCTTTGCCACTGTGTCACCCTTTGTGCCACCAGACACATTGGTGAGGCTCTCAGGAAGGCTCTGTCATTGTCTCCAGCAGTGACAGGTATTAAAGTTCCACTTGGCCACCACATCCTGATTTAAGAAGTTTAAAAATGAAAATGATATATTCTATATCATTTTTATGAACCATTTCTTTTTATCTTATTTGTATCTACCATGAGTATAGAAAGATTTTTGTCTTATTTGTAACGTGTTGAGGAAAAAACTTTCCCTTTTTTTGTAGTTAATAATGTTCATGAAACGAGTGCCTTTCTGCCTCCTGCTTTCTTGATTTGAGCCGCTTCTGAATGCTAATGAGTATGAGAGGGTGCAGTTAAGAACATTTCCTTGGCTTCATTGTAGTGTAATGGCAGGATGACTGATCAGTGCGGGGTTAGTGGCTAGAACAATACCTTCTTTTTTAAAAAAAATTTATTGAGGTATAGTTGACACACAATATTATATAAGGTTCAACTTAATGATTTGACATTTGTAGACCTTATGATGTGATCACCAACTAAGTCTAATGACCATCTGTCACTGTACAAAGGTATTAAAATATTTTGACTATATTCTCTGCGCTGTATACTGCATCTTCATGGCTGATTCATTTTAACTGGACGCTTGTACATCTTATTCCCCTTCCCTCTTTCACCTGCTCTCCACCCCAACCCCTCTCCCCTCTGGCAGCTGTCAGGTTATTTTGTTTCTACAAATCTGTTCTTGTTTTGTTTGTTCATTTTTTTTTCTTTTAGATTCCACATATAAGTGAAATCTTACAGTATTTGTCTGACTTATTTCACTCAACATAATACCCTCTGGTTGCATCCATGTTGTCACAATGGCAAGATTTCTTTCTTCTTTATTTCTGAGTAATATTCCATTGTGTACATATACCTCATCTTTATCTATTCATCTGTTAATGGACTCTAGGTTGCTTCATACCTTGGCTGTTGTAAATAATGCTACAGTAAACAGAAGGGTGCATAATACCTTTTTGTTTTTTAATCTCAAATTGTTTACCACAATGGAATATTTGCCCTGAAATTTTAAAACATTCACCTGTGGCTTAAAATTTAAGGGAGCTATGAGTCAAACTTCATAAAGCAGATAAAGCTATCTTTTTTAGATAGCTTTTTTAGATAGCGTTTTTTAGAAGGCCTAAAATAGGTTTTACTAAGTTCTTTGGCTGAAGTGTTCCAATCTGAGAAAATGTAGGGGTGCTGATTGACCATGGTCTGGAAACTGAAAACATTTTCCAAAGGATATTTTAATTCTGCAGAATCACATAGGCGTTAACCAATGTTGGTTTTCTGTATTTGACAAATGTGTCACGGTAATTCAAGATGTTAATGTTAAAGGAAATTGGATAAGGGGTGTATGGGAATTCGCCTCATTCTTTACAACTTTTCTGTAAAGCTAAAATTATTCCAAAATGAAAAGTTTATTTAAAAACAACAAAGGCAGAAGCTAAGAAGGTGCAGAATAGACATTAGTATAACCAAAAATGCCCATCTTGATTCACTTTCCCTGCTGCTCATGTACGTGTCCAGTATTCATTGGCAAGACATGTGAACACAGTGAACAGCACCAGCATCTCCGTTACGTTTTCAACATGATTTTTCCTTTCAGAAGCCAATGTGATTTTAATTGGAAGTAAAACTGAGAAATGGGTTTCTTTTTCTTTCATTCATACTGCTTTTTGATGATCAATACAACTTTGCATTAGGCAAGCTATAAACTTGCTAAAAGTACAATTTTTAAAATTACCTACTAAGACAGTTTCTTTTTCAGTAAAAATGTAGTTGTATTTAATTGCCTTAGGCTAGAAGTTTCGTTTACTTCTGAGGAGGAGATACTGAAAGGCCAATCACTGCCATACGTTGTCCTGATAGAGCATTTAACTTTAGAGAAATGTTTCTGCTAATGACTCTTTTTTTTTTAACTTGGGAAAATATTAGATATGGAATTACACTTACTATTTGATTCCTAACTTACCACTTCCTAGATAAGTGACCTTGGGCAGGTGTTCTAACCTTCCTGAGCTTCAGTTTACTCATCTTTCAAATGAGTACAATGAGACTGGCTTTTGTGCGACCTAAGTTACATAGTCTTCTTTGTAAACTGTAAAGCATTTGACTCAGAATTTTGGTAGGTAAGCATGGTGTGTTGGTATTTTTGTACATTTGTTCCAGTCTTTAGATTTACTAAAGTAATAGTTACTATGTTTAAATGCGCTCTCTACAGTAAGCATGCAAATTACTGTACCTTTCAGTCCCTATGGCCTACTTCAGGGACCCTAGTTAGGCACCTTGACGTTTCACAGTTCACTGATACTCTCATCCGCGTAGTCTCTCTATTTTTCCTCTCTGTGTTTTATTTTAAGTTGTTTCTATTACTATGCTTTCAAGTTCACTCTTCTTTTCTCCTACATTGTTAAGTCTGTTGTTACTACCATCCAGTATTTGTTTGGTTTTAACCTATAGAATTTTGATTTGGGTCTTTTTTTCCCCCATTTACCTAAGATGCTTAATTTTTCTCTATTTTCTTGAACATATGATCCACTAGTTGTATAACTCTGTCATTCTAGGTCTGTTTCTATTGATCGATTCTATTTTTCTCATTATGGGTCCATTTTCCTGTTTTATTGCATGATGGTGATTTTTTTAATGGAGGCCAGATATGCCTTTTACCTTGTTCGGTTATTTTTCTGTGACGTAAATATTCTCACACTTTGTTCT